ATCTTTTTCGTCCCCGGCTCATTCATACGCGACGTAAATCTTCATAAATCACCGCCAATACGTCCGGCTGTTCGGCGGCAGAATCGCGAATCCAACGGATCGATTCGCGGGGGGGCGATTAACGGGATAGGACCAACGGGATGAATCCATTCGGGGGAGGGGTGGTAGACGAAGAGACTGAACGAGACGTCTGAATCGAAATCGGGCCGGATCGATCCGAGGGCCGGCGTTAATTGAGCCTCGATACGATGAAACTACAAACAGAGGCTCGGTGTGGAGTAGGTGCGATGCTCTTCTCGCGATCCATTTCCTCGCGATACCAGCCACTGTTTGCTAAATAAGAATTCACTCGGCGTTGCCGCTCTGTACACCGATCGAAGAACCGGTCGAGTCGAAACGAATCGAAATTTCCCGATAATTTCCCTATATATATATATATAGATATATATCTAGAAATAATTTAATTTTTCCTCGCATCATTCGTTATCGAATCGCTGATAATAAAGTTTATTTAAAGTTGTTGTATCTGTTGGCGTAGAGAAATCGACTCGATGCGGATATTAGCAAACGATGAAATATTCATCGCGTTTTCGTTATTGAATTGATAATAGCGAAGAGTTATTTGGACAAAGTTCTAAATCTTCTATATCTCTAATATATATATCTTCGCGAAGGAACTAGATGCGGACTTAGGTAACGAATTAATGTAATATTCATTATTCAATTGATAATAGAGAAACTTATTTAGACGAGGTTGAATAATTCTCTCTCGATCTTGGACCAAGCTAGTTACCACCGCTAAATAATCCCTGATTAATACAATTCGAGACCGTGGACGGATAATCGGAGTCAAAAATTTAAGCAGAAACTGTGTAAAATAATCAGATGGCCCGATTAAAAATTACCTAGCATCTAGCATCCAGTCCATTACCGTCTATTAATAAACACGCGCAATCGAGAAACGCCCCTCGATATCCGCGTCTCGATATCAGCGTCGCAATATCCTCGATTAAAAATATCCCATTTTCCTCGATATCTGCAGCGCAATACGCTCGCGTGTGAATCGCGAATCACAATACATATCCCGACGCAACGGTGTCAAAAGATATCATCACGGCGCATTATCAATTTCCAGGTTCCTGTCGACAGCGTCGAGCTCTCCCCTCCATTCATCCCTCCGCTCCTCCCTCTGTTTTCACTCCGTGTTCGGCCTAAAAGCGTGGCTGTGTCGTCGTGGCCGGACGTTGAAGAGGACACGCCGGGCGTCGCCTCCCCTCCCCAAACTACGTCGGGGCCGTTTCATTAGATATCATTATAATTGCGCGGGGGAGTAATTATTGTTGTCCTGTGCACGGAGTGGTAGAACTCGAATGAAAGAAGAGAGACAGAGAGAGAGAGAGAGAGAAAAAGAAAAAAAAAGCTCGTAATAAAAATTAATGTCCCCGCCAGGGGTACTACCTCTCTGCCCGACGCCGCGTGAGATAGCTGGCGAGGGGAGGAAGGGAGGGGGGATGGAAGCGAAGGTAGAAGGTTGGA